TTTGCCGTGTCATTAAGTATGTAAAACTAAATCTAGGATATTACCCCAGAGACACCAAATTTTATATCTGAAAACAAACCTGGGTGCTACTTTTATAGTAAATAATTTCGGAGTTGTTCTGTTTTTAGGTTAGTTGATCCTGAATCTCTGCCCAGTGTTCCAAGATTTTCGTTAAAGTATCTCAAGTTATCTGATAGTAGCTGGCTATATGACGTACACTTATCAGCACTGATTGGTTTAAATGCTTCAAAAAGTCTGAAATATCTAAATGTATCAAAGTGTTATCGTTTATTTCTTGGTCCTCCAGCATCCTGTTCACTGAACATGCGTTTTGAAAAGATGTCAGCCTTTCTTAAGCAAACTTGCCCGCACCTTGAAGAGTTGGACTTATCTTCAGTTTTTATGTCACATAACATCCAAGTGCCTGTAACAACAGCATTGTTAAGTATGATACCTGATACTCTTCCTTACCTCCATACTTTAAATCTGTCAGAAAATCCAATGATTACTTCGTCTCTTTTAAATCAATTATATGAAAGTCAAAATCTAAGCTCAGCTTTTCAAAGCTTTATTACCTCGTTTTTTAGTAAAATTCATAAATACAAAGTTTTTTTGTATATATATGACTGGCCACATAAATTAACTATGAGTTTATTTTCTGCATGTGCTCTTACTGTACCTGATGGCAGTACAGTATATTTGTATGTTAATGATGCTCCTAGATGTATAGAAGAAAATTCGAAATGTAAACTTATATCTTCAGTAACAAATGATCTTTGTTTTGGCTAGACGATCTTTGTATATATTCTGTTTATATCATTTATATAGATATATATGGTCGATATTTGTGCAGTTTCACTATCTAACTGTTCTTTATTTGCTCTGCACAAGTGAACTCATTTAACAGTAAATGGTGACACAAAATTATAACTCTAAATAACCTTGCACGTAACGACGATGCCGTTCAATTCCACAATATTTAATACTGTAGTGGACGAGAACACCAGTGGGTACAACCGAGTGTATTCGAACACAAAATTAGTCTCGTAGTAAAATCTGAGATGACACATCTAAATTTCCAGGGGTTGAACTTTTACCAGGAGATTCACTTGTTGACTTAGAATATGCCGATGACATAGTTCTATTTGGTGAAGACGCTGACAAAATGCAGTCTTCTGACCACCGTAAGCAACAAACGTGGCATCAGGGCTTGGAGTCACTAACTTCTAGTCTGAGCCATTTTGGGAGATGCAGACTGCTTGGTTGGGGTCCGCGTGACTATCGTAACCGATGGTTAGAGACTCTTGGTGACATGGCTCAGAATCGATCACAATGGCGTCGGTGTGTACACTCTGTCTTCCCTTAAACTAAGAGATTAAAATCGCTTCATATTTTTATTTCTACGAACTAATTCTTTCTTCGTGTACTATTTCCTTATTGCAATCTTTCTTTTATATATTACCACCTCTAAATTAACTACTTTTATGAATCCGGTGTCCATCTTGTTGTGTTAATGAGGTACGGCAACTTGGACCAATGCATATATGTGCCTGGTCCTACGTTTTAGCTGACTGACTGACAATGCAAACGTGTTCGGGATGCGATTCTCCCCCTTGAAATGCAAAATGTTGCTTCAGGATTCAGTTGCATCGACAGCTGAATTAATGATAAGGGGTGAAGTAGTTAAGCGTGTCGACCGCTTCACTTATCTTGGAAGTCTCATCAGCCCTTGTGGTCTGGTGTGTGACGAAATCTCAGCACGGATACAAAAGGCTCGACTAGCTTTTGCCAACTTGCGTCATTTATGGCGTATGTGAGATATCTCTCTATCGACAAAAGAACGCGTTTACTGCGCAGCAGTTCGTTCCGTCCTACTTTATGGCTGTGAAACATGGCCGGTAAGAGTAGAGGATATTCGTAGGTTACTAGTATTCGATCATAGGTATCTTCGAAGCATTGCTCGTAAGTAATGCAGTTGTCAGGAATTGGGTACTAGGTAAGGATGGCAAATCGATCGATGAAGTGGATAAACTTCATCAGTTGAGATGGCTGGGACACGTGTTACGTATGCCCAACCACCGACGTGCGATGTTCAGTGGTATAGGAGTAGGTTGGAAGAAAGCTAGGGGCGGCCAGATCAAAACATGGCACAAGTCCATGAAGTCACTGACAAGTGGACTGAGCCATGTTGGTAGGTGTAGACTACCTGGTTGGGATCTGCGAGATGATAACAACCGATGGTTAGAGACCTTGAATGTTTATTTTTATTTATTTTAACACACAGATATTGGTACGAAAAGGCACCAAATACATATGCGCCACACAAATCTCATTTGATATGTGTGAGGGCTGTTATACTGCCCGAACCGAAGCAGGTAGAGACCTTGAATGACATAGCTCGAAATCGTTTGCAGTGGCACAAGTGCATCCACTCTTTGTGTTCTCCCAAATTCTAATCTTCTGCATTCTTCATATCCCTTCTTCCAAATTTATTTCACTGGATTATACTACTTGAATAACATCTTCAAACCCTGATGTTTCTGATCACTGCTTATACTTTTACTACCTCTACCACTATGGAATTTGAATCGACAGTTGTATCTCTGTGCTAATATGGTATGGCAACTCGAACTGATGTACGTACGTACGAAGTTCTATGTTGTTGACTAACTGACTGAATAATCGGAAATGGGGCAATGACTAGAAAAATATAGACACTAATAACATTCGTAATAAGAGGTGTTCAGATAATTTACCGTGAAGCGTATATCTGAGAAAAGGAAATAATCTTTGTGTTCATAAGAAATTTGTCACACCCTCATCTCTCCCTTGGCCTTAATAAATGAGATTTATTATTATTTTCCATACTCTTCGCTTATTTTTCTTCACACCCTGTACATTAGAGTAAAGACTAATGAGGATCTAATCGAAAACAATATTGTTCGCTTATATATGTTGTTCTAAATTACAATCATATCTTTCTTTCTACTAACCAATTCTTTCTTCTTGTACTATATCTCTATATGCAATCTTTCTCTTATATATTACCACCTTTTACCTAACCACTGTTATGAATCCGGTGTTCATCTTGTTGTGCTGATGCGGTATGGCAACCTGGACCGATGCACATAAGTGCATGGTTCTACGTTGTAGCTGACTGACTGACTGAAATTACAATGGTGATTGTTCATTGTGTAGCATGAAATTAATAGACAGTAGTCTACCCACTTTACACTTCAGGAAGATACGAAAAGTTCGTAGCTAATTAACCTTGGTCATGTCATAGTAGGATCTGTGGGTAGGCAGCATTTTAGAACCCTTTAAAATATCTTCCAGTTAGAATTATTAATTGGTTATCTAGAAAGCTTATGTTTTTACCGTTTAAGATAAGACAGTTCAGACATTCTTGCCCCTAGTTTATATAAAACTTTGGCTTTTTGTCACTTTAGCTGATCGGTTACCAAACCTTCATGTTCAAACGTCTCCTTCACTATCATCGAAATATTCTCAACAAAAAGTTTGAGTTATTTATTCACGTTGTTAACGAATGGAACAATATATCGATATTTCATTACACAAGCTATATCCTACACTGGCTATTTAGGTAAGAAGTACAAACACTTGAAACCAAACATACTTTGTGTCCGCACAGTGTATCTACAACACTACTTATGACTATCGGTATTAGCCTTAAAATCCTCATAAACACAGATGTTACCTTTAAAACACTAAAAAGGCGCATCTCATGAAATGGTACATACTCGACACCTGGCAAACTTGCACCAGACTAACTCGATGACCAGCCGTCTGAATTTCAGTAATACAATATAGATAGGTTTTAAATCCTACCTAGAAGACAGCTACAATGTTCACTTCTGTATATTAAATAACCATTTTTAAATAAGTATAATCACCATTTTGTTCACTACCATATATTTAGTACAGTATGAAATTCTCAGCATAAATTATTTCAATAAATTTCTCCTATTCATATGTATCACTAAAGTATACTTACATAAAATGGATTTTTCAAATTGGATGAAATTTTTGAAAAGAGTAAGTTGTTTAATAGTACCTCATAAATCAACATAAATAGTTGGAGTGATCTCGGATTCCGCACTGGTTTAAAAATATCTTCTGCTTAATTCGTCTGGTAATTAGTGGGTTATTAGAATAACATGATTAAACTTACTTTTTATCGAGATGAAACAAACTAAGCTCAGAAAACAACTTAGGTGTAGTATTGTACGTTCTATTCATATGGCAGCTGAATACAATACTAAGTTTAAGCAGTGGAACTCTAGTGTTCTCGAAAGTCGACAGAACATGTCTTCAGTCATGACCACTGTGTCGTAGATTTATCTTTTCAGCAAGAACAATGTAATTAATTAGTTTGCTAGAGGCGTAACTGAAACTTTTTGGTACTTTAAGGGTTTACGAATCTTTAGTATTCCTTACTACATAATTGTAAACTCAAACCTACACATTCATTGTACATATCACCTTTCACTTATTTTTGTATCGTGTATAGTTTTTTGTCGTGTATCCGTCCTCACTTAATTTTTGCGATTTCCTGTTTTATGTAAATAATAATGAACATATGTTTTTTCCAACTAGTACTTTTTATTTAATTTACGGTTGAATCCAGGTTATGATCACATGCTTGTCTCATTGGTTTTACTATATCTTCGCTCACATATTAGTGTGGAACTGTGTTATAAGTAGGTTTGTTTATTCGTAATCACTTATTTGGATTTGCGAATTCATAAACTGGTAGGTTTGTTAAGAAGAATAGTATGCGTTCGATAAAGAAGTCCGTACTTTTAGTGGAGAAATTTTCACGCTGGATAGTTCTATCTAATATACATTCGTTGAGAAATTAGTTACTCTCAAGTCGTATAGAAAGTATACACTTTTTAAATTTTTTCTCTACAAGGGTATCAGCTTTTACGTTGGTTGAATTGAAATTACTTATAAGGGGTCAATCAACTAATCGTATGCGGTCGACTTACTAATAGTTAAAAGATAAAAATACTACAACTAGACAACATTGGAACACATAGTTACATGTGTAATATATATAATTTAATCAACTTAGTATTGGTTAAAAGTATAAAATCACTATTGTAATTCAGTGAAAGTAGCCATAATCAACAAAGAGGTCCTGATAAAGAGGAGTAAAACATGTTTAGATTTTTCAGAAAAAATGAAATCCTAAGAAACGTAGCGTTCAAAGATGGTGTATTTTGTCAATGAGGACAATGATAGTACAAAATAAAGCCCAAATCAAAGCTATTATTATCCAGAAAAAGTGCTGAAATGGTGATGCATGCATTGAAATAGACAATAAATGATGGTTGGAACATTTTCCTATAATTGAAACAGAATGTGGTGTTGTTATGTCATTTGTTGAACCATATATGATATTCCTATTCTCCGTATTATTATTGCTGGAAGTTGGTTGTATCATTTCTTCACCAACAGTTCCCGATGTGGTATCATCACTTTGCTGTAGATCTGTTGTTGTTTCAAGATTAGATTCTTTCAGAGGAACGCAGTTTGTAAAGTATCGACGTGCTTTAAATACTAACAGCGCTGGTATTATATACTGTATACCTGAACCAAAAATTGCCCCGGTAAAACCAGTCAAATATCCAACATTATTAGTTATTAATGCAATCCCTAATGGTGGCAGTAGTACGACAAATGGTAATGTGTACTTCAGAATGTTTTGAGCTTTATCACTTCCGAATACAGAGAAAAAGTTACATAAAGAAAAAATGTTTCCAAGTAAACTAGTGCCAACTATTGGAAAAGATGAAGTCAACGCAAATACAGGAAATAAACATAAAAAATAACCTATTATCAAAGCTAATGTATAAGGAATTTGTGATATATCGATGAATTCATTGTTTGGTAGAAAATTCAATGTGTAAATATCTTCAATATGATTAAATGCAATGATAGCTGTAGTAGATAATAAGAGGTTAAACAATAGAACTGTAATGAAGACAGGTATAAATATTCTACATAGTATCTTACTCTTATCTCTAACAGGAGTTACAATACCAGGTATAGAATGATGACACATAAATACGTACACACAAACTCCGAATAAACTTGGTATATTTTGAGGTTGAAAGGCTGGTGGTTTTGGAACTGGTTCAGATTTTATAAGTAATGAATAGATTGAAGGATTCCAATACATACTAACATTATGGTGAAACGTTGCAACTGTAAAATTTTTGCGCAGAATAATAGCTCTTTCAATTGAAAAACTCAACATCAAAATAAAACCAATCCATCGTAGACAAACGGTCAGTAGTTGAAGCCATCGAGAACGAATTACATTGAAAAACAAGAATGGGCAAACACATGCACCAAAACAAACCTATGAGAAAAATAAGTACGACAAATTGGTGACAGTTGCCCTAACATTATGTAAACATGCTATTATATTGATCGTGGGATAACGTAACTTATCCAATAATTGTTTGACTTAAAACTAAGATATATTCGGAACATTGTTTAACATAAATGCACCGTAATTCAGGAAACATTTGATAATTTATAGGGTTGTGAAACGGCAATTTAAGGCGCAAGAGCCGTGCGAATTGCAGGCATTTGACCATGCATATAATCGTAATAATGCCCTTACGCGTGAGCTACTTTGGGTTTGTGTCTAAACTCTGCGGCGGAAAAACCAGGTCTGTAAATGTTGTAAAGATGTGCCAACTAAGATGGCTAGGAAACTCATAACAAGCGATTAATTGACAGACAATTCCCATATGAACATAAAAACACGAAGTTCAGAGAAGGGATTTTTTTCAACGGATTTATTATCAAGCCGTGCAATCGTATATACTTATGGAAATTTTTCGGTAAATTACTAGTTCCGTGAGGAAATGTGAACACGAATAACCAAGATGACGTAATAGAAAAATTATAATACTAGATTGCGTAATACGAATAATAACAATAGACCTAGTAAGTTAGTAACGAGTTATAGCGTGAATGTAGTAAGATAACTAAAGTGTTTTTTTGTTACAATAATTAAAGGTCACAGAAGTGTAAAAAAATAAATAAAGTGATATTATGAGTACTTATGAATGAAATAATGAGAATATGAGACATAAGTAAAGGAGGAATGCAGTAACAATAATAATAATTAAGGCCAAGGTAACGATAACGTGCTTCAGTTGTGTGCATAGTTCTGGCTTGAGCTCACGAATGATAAGAGCTTCGGCTATTTCTCGGAGTTGGATGCAAAGAAATCTAGGTAGATTTGAATCATATATACAACCTTAAAATCAAACTGTGGATCCGTAAAATGATTACAGTCGATTAGGTGTTCATGTACAGACCATATTACCATCAGTCATCGTTGCCGCTCATTTTTGAATCGAGTGACGAGAAAACCAAAAGTAGGTTCCAGGAACAACTGAGGTCACACTTAGATAGTTCTGAAAACAAGGCTGACCCAGATGTTGCTTGGAAAGCTATACGAAGAGTTGTGGAAACAGCAGTGAAATTTGTTAGTGATTTAAACCAAAGGATTACAATGCACCAATGGATTTCTCCTAAGTCTATTGCACTGATGGATTCTCGTAAGCTCTTCCCATCAGGCTCTGAACGCGATGAAGAGCGAAAACAAATCCGATCTAGGGTAAGCAAAATTTAAGGAATGACCTTGAGCAGTGGTGGGCAATGAGAGCAAGAGATGGAGAAGGCGGCGGCTGTAGTTAACATAAGACAGCTCTACAGACTAATAAAAGAAACTGGAATTAATAAGTCAAGTGTAAGTGAGACTATCTAGGAAAAAGACGACACTTATCTACTCCCAGTCTAGACATTTAGAACGATGGGCGGAACATTTTAGAGAACAGTTCAGCTGGCCTTTATCTACTCTACAACTACCTTCCATTCCCAAACAGTGTGAATGAAACACTGAAGTAGGTCCCCAACTCGAGCTGAAATTCAAAAGGCTATATTCAGTCTGGAACGAGGAAGGGCAGATGAATTGGCTCCAGAGGTCTTTAGGGGTGGTGGTCTAATTTTAGAGATTAGGTTGACTAATATATTAGCTAAAATCTGGCAGTTGGATGTAATCCTATCTGACTGGTCACAATCACTTATCGTCCCAACATATAAAAGGTCAAAATCATTCTGTGACAACCATAAAGGGATCACTGTAACTAATATAGCATCTAAAATACTAACCTCAATGATTATCGGACGCCTAACTAATAGTTGTGAACTGCAAACAAGAGAGAATCAAGCTAGCTTCAGACCTGTTTGTGGCTGCGTCGACCACATATTCACCATTCGTCAGGTTTTCGAACACAGGCATACTTATCGACGTCCGACGATGGTGGCCTTTCTTGACTTAAAAGCAGTACTTGACTCCGTCAATTTTGTGAGTGACTGTCGCTGAAAGGCGTACATCAGAAGTGCATAAACCTTATGAATGCTCTTTACTCAAACACTACTAATCGAGTCAGAGCTTATGGAGAACTGTCATCTGATTCTACAACCTCAAGTAGTGTCCGACAAGGCTATCCACTGTCTCCATTTTTGTTCAACTTCATCATAGACCTACTGATGGAAATAACGTTCTCGTCGATTGAATTCTCGGGAATCGATCTCGTACCAGGAGGTTCACTTTTCGACTTAGAATACGCAGATGATATAGTCTTGTTTGGTGAAGACGCTAATAAAGTATAGAGTCTTTTGGTAGCACTAAGCAACAATGCCAGAATGTTTGATGCGTTTCTCCACCTCTAAATGCAAGTTGTTGCTTTAGGACTGGCCTGCGTTAACACCTGAACTAAGGGTAGAAAGTGAAGTAGTTGAACGCGTTGACAACTCCACTTATCTTGGAAGTCTGATCAGCCCTGATGGGGTGGTGTCTGACGAAATCCGTATTTAGAAAGCAAATATGGAATAGCCAGTTGATCAACTTTTATAGCTGGGTTCCTTTGAGCAGAAAGAGAAATTCACTCTTTATGTCATCGAATACATTGGATATGTAACACGGAATGTATTGACGAAGAACTCGATTTTTTTCAAGAAAACTAACGGATAATGGCTATTCAGACCGATTCATAGATATGAATATAAAAAAAATCTGGTTGTTACGTTTCAAAGAAAAACCTCCATATGAGTTTGGAAAGGTAGTCGAATCTCTGATGTAATCAAAAATCGTTTAACGACAGCGATTAAAAAAACATTCAATACGACAAAACTGCGAATAACGTTCAGTAGCAGGAACTTATTATCTATATCCATAAAGGATAAGCTTCCTTCTCTGGTCACCTCATTGTTCATCTGCTCTTGTGGAGCAACGTACGTTGGCCGTAGCCAGCGATTGCTTTCAAGTCAGATACGTGAACACTTCCCAGTTTGGTTCTACAATGGCGAGAGGAAAACAGTTAGGAGTTCTATGCATGAACATCCAGTCGACTGTAATCATTTTACGGATCCACAGTTTGATTTTAAGGTTGTATATATGATTCAAATCTACCTAGATTTCTTTGCATCCAACTCCGAGAAATAGCCGAAGCTCTTATCATTCGTGAGCTCAAGCCAGAACTATGCACACAACTGAAGCACGTTATCGTTACCTTGGCCTTAATTATTATTATTGTTACTGCATTCCTCCTTTACTTATGTCTCATATTCTCATTATTTCATTCATAAGTACTCATAATATCACTTTATTTATTTTTTTACACTTCTGTGACCTTTAATTATTGTAACAAAAAAACACTTTAGTTATCTTACTACATTCACGCTATAACTCGTTACTAACTTACTAGGTCTATTGTTATTATTCGTATTACGCAATCTAGTATTATAATTTTTCTATTACGTCATCTTGGTTATTCGTGTTCACATTTCCTCACGGAACTAGTAATTTACCGAAAAATTTCCATAAGTATATACGATTGTACGGCTTGATAATAAATCCGTTGAAAAAAATCCCTTCTCTGAACTTCGAGTTATTAATTCATTCAATATGTTAAACGTTCGGCTCAACATTCGACCACCCTATTAAACAGACTAACGGTGATCAAGTTATGACTATAAATTCATTGATCGTTGCTTTGAGTGGTGTAAACACGAGATTTAGAATTTCTTATTAAACAATTTTGGGTGGTACAAATCAGTAATTACAAACCACAAACAACATACATCAAACGACGCAAGTGATTTCATTGTATCTTCTTTCGACTGGTTAATTATTTTCCTTTCCTCACCTATTTCTTGATTAGTAACTCAATAAAAATTATGCGTTTCGGTAATCAGCCTGATGAGGAACATTTTTTAGCACAGATTAAGGAATGTAGAAGGTATGACGACTAAATTGCAAATGTCAGCAACCGAACAAACATAGGTTTATCCAGAGGAAAACGGAAATAAAACAGATTAAGACTTAGTAAAAATAGGAATTTAACAGGACACATGATAGTTAATTAATCTGGCACACATTTATTCGCCAACGCTCTTTCAATGAAAACAAGAGTATATACGCTATGACCCGGTTAAATGAAGTAAAAAACCGATTGAATGAATTTTCGCTCTCTACTATGTTTACTTTTCACGAACATTTCACTTTAAAAGCGAGAATAGGGGCCATTTAAACCCTTAAACAACCAATTTGCATATAATGTTCATACAAGGAAGATATGTTTCAGTATGTGTACTAACCTTATTTGCCTTTAAGATACTAATTATATGCCAAATACTAGAAGTAAACAAGTCAAAGGAAATAGATACAAAATAACTTTGTGGCCGAATATATGGGTGAGAAAACGAGATTAAATAATAACTATCTGTTAAATAAACTTACTAGTGAAAAAGAAGCTAGATAACAGATACCCATTATTATGTTTTAAACTTACCGACCCCCCTCGATATTTTAGTTAACGATGTAAACGGACTTACAGATAAATTTTGTAACTTAGAAACATATCCTTTTTCTGTAATACTATGTAAATGTTGTGAGTAGTTATCTACTTAAAAAGATAGTTTTACTCTTTTACCAAATCTATTTACTGCACGAAAAATAGAATTTTTATAATTACCCTATTTTTCCTTAATGTTGAGAACTCCCAGTAATAACTGAATAACATAAAATGCGCAAACTATCTACGATAATCATGGTTTCAAATTGAACCTTTTCACTCATTAACCTGTTTTGATCATAACCGTTAATTCCTTATGAAGATCGCTTCACAAACTGATTATATAGCTAATTTGAAACTGCTATGTATTTATTGTGCATAGACCTAAAGATAGTTCGTTTCAAAAAGTCAAGAAATTTTATGAAATATTTTTCCAAGCAGTTTTTTAAAAACTTCAGTTAAGTTTTATCAAGTGCTTATGATAGACTTAAGAACGATGGCGATCTTTCTTAAGGCCAAAAGTGAGCCCTTTTGATAAGTTCCGAACCAACACAAAACAGCTGATCAATGGTCTTTGGTTTTTAATAATGCTGTCGTTTGATTTTAAGTGATAAAAATATTTTCAAAAGAATTCCTGTCCGGTGTATTGTTCAAATTAAGCTACAAAAATTTCTCTATAATTCATATAACCAATCTGCTCTACTAAATAAATAATTAAATTACTTAAGGTAAAATAATTTAGTAAACTCGGGCACAGAAACGCTGATTCAATTGGTGTCATTATCTTGAAAAATCGACTTTGGTGGCCTTAACATGTCCTACGAATGCCATCCCAGACAATTCAACAACGTGCATTATTTACTGAAGCTGGGACTGGTTGGATAAAGTGGAGTTGTGGTATGAAAGAAAGCTGTACAGGACTGGCTTCTATTGGTCCTTTATGACTATATGGTTAGGGTCCCAGAGATGGCACAACAGAATGGCTAGAGACCTTATCAGATATGATTCGGAATATAAATCAGTGGCGGTCCTGTTGTAACTTTCTTTCACTTTATTCAGAAAAGTGAACGTAACTTCTTTAACTGAAAGAATTCTTTCTGGTTATACTTTTGCTAACTGAATTGTTTCTTTCATTATTATTATTATTATCATTACTATCTCACTCTCATACACTAATTTCTGTTCGATTTTTTTATCACACGCACTTTACACTATCTATCTTTTCACAACTTCATTGTTATTGTGTGGCGCGTACGTACCTGGTTCCCCCTTGTACCAATGTTTGTGTTGAAATAAATAAGAGAACTTTACAAAATGATTGATTGACAAATTTACTACAAAACCCTATGCAACTACGACGTAAAATGAGTAATGACGAAAAAAATTAAAAGTATATGCTAGTAAATTGGTATTTTTCAATAAGACATTGTAAATAATGTGATCGGGATTGTATTAATTATAATATGAACTGACATGTCGTATGAAACCGATAACAATGCGTATTATATGACAAATATTACCGATCAAAATAATAACTTACAACTAATATCCTATATACATCTAAGCGAGTGAGGAATGACGATCCCCAACAAAGGTCTGAATCCGACAAAGAATCCCGTGAATTATTAAAAGAACTAAAATATGTTAAAAATGATTAGTCTTTTTCAAGGCAAAGAACAAGCAGTTTTTCATCACAAATAAATCAATTTAATGTTGCCATATGCAAATTCATCTATTTAGTATTTTCGAACACACTCCGAAGTATTATTTTTTCATACGAATGCCGAAACTGAAATTTTAATACTAATCAATAAACAATTTAGCTGTTGACGATAGATAAATCCTGTAATTCTTAACCATTGAAAAGGTTAAGTATATTTGATAACACCATCTTTCGAGTAAAGGGCGTTGGTAAAAATGTGTATACAACGTTAAAAGTGTGAGTCAGCCCATAATGTTGTCAACTTAAAATGAATAGGGTAGTGAGAATGCTAGATAATTTGATATAATTATGCTTTTGTGAAGGTTAGTTGCTAAAGTAAGAGAAAGCTGAAAAGGTAATGCTACCAAGAAACAGGTTGGTTGAAGGCTTATGTAAGGTGAATTTTAATGTAGGTTCACAAGCCGAAGGGGCACTCGTCAAGGATAATAATTGCTTTACAAAGAAAATAAAACTGAGAAAATGTCCAAGTAACTCAGAATAAACGATTTATTCGGAAATGCAAACTCTTATAAACGAGTTTCAAACAAAATTTGGCCAAGTGAAAAATACCAGAATAGATAGCTAATCCAAAAATCATAAAAAGACGCAGCAAATTCGAATGATTGAAAGGTGAATATTATAAAATTCTGACTAACCAGATAACATTGCGTAACGACTTTGGAACTGCTGAAGAGTAAATGGTTAGGTCACCATATAAATACGCACAAATGTTGATGTACATCAAAACATTCCCCACTTTACCAAAATAAAAGAGCGACATTTGACCCTGAATAGATGTATTACAATAACAGAAAACACTAACAAGTTCGTATTTCTCCGTAATTTCGAAGTCACTTGGAGCAATTCTAGTTGTAACTTCTGAAAACATATAAAAGGGTTGATAACGTACCGCCAGACATTCTACCAACCAAACTTTTTTTGTCATCATGCTCTTCACCCTCCTAAAGTAAAGTAAGCTTTTAAACGCGATAAAAACTTGCGAACACGTAGATATTTAGATTTGTGTAATGCATTGGTTATAGATAACGCTTCAATGACAAATGTAAAAGTTAGAAAGCTGAGAGAATAGAAAGTATGCAACTTACCTCAAAAAGCACAGAATAACTACAACACATGCAGAGATCAACCATCCCGCTTCCTGAAACGCTGCTGGAAGTGTCAAAACGCCAGTGCCCACAATAATGTTAAAAAGAAAAATAAACCCAGTCTACAAATAATTTTGCTCGACTGAAAGCTAACCAAAGAAGAGTATCCACTTCCCACCGAGATCTGTACATTCGACATCGTTAGGCGGAACTCGATCAGATGGCTGGATTTGAGTTAGAGTGAATTATCAGTTGAGTATAGGCTCTTTGCCCAATGAGTGCCTATCGAATTGCGGTTACCAAGCTCAAAGTGCAGATGCAAACAATCGATTATTCAGTACTTTGTAAATAACAATTTGTTCCTATCCAATCGTTACGAGGTACGACCTTGAACGTTTGAAAACGTGCATCGTCGAGTTCTGGCTAGTATAAAATATTACCATGGTAGAACAATAACACTGAAGATTATATTGACATATTACAAAAATAAGGATATGCATGTGAACGACAGTTTCAAAAAGCGTTTTCAGGTCATTTTTATTTTCTGATTCTAGACAATTATAGTTTAAAACAGTGAAGAAGACTGTAATAAACTAAACTCCAGTTCGTAATTTCGGTCGTCTACTTAACGACCAATCAGAATGAAGCCAGAACTATTACTTTTTCCATCTTTGTAAGCAGTGGCGGTCAGCCCACCTTGTTCTGTGTTTTTTCTCTGTTTTCTGGTGTTGATGCTTTAGTGGCCCGTGGATCTGACTGGGAAGCCAACTCCCCAGGGTGTCATTTTGCTTTGCTCTGTTTCATTCGCTTCATATACAAAATATATGTATGCACAGATCAATTCTCGTTATTTGACTTATTCAATTCCGTTATTAACTAACGTGATTAAGTCGACGATGATATACGAGAATAGGCGATAACAAACATTTATACTATCTAAATAGGAGTCAGATCCACGGGCCACTAAAATGGTGAACCCGACGTGATTATGGCTGTTTTCTCAACGTCTTCCGGTGCCATTGGAATTTGGTGGTATGCTCGTTCTAGGTCAAGTTTCGAAAAGATGCGTTTGCCGTGTAAGTTTAACGAGAAGTCATGTATATGTGGTATAGAGTACCTATCAGGGAGTGTTTGATTATTCAGACGGCGGTAGTCGCCACATGGACGCTAATCTTGGTCTTTCTGTGTAACGGAGAGGCCCAAGGACTATTAAATGGTCTGATGATACCAAGTTGCATCATGTGTTCAAATTCCCTCTTAGCTGTCTGAAACTTTGTTGGTGGTAGTTTTTTCGCTCTGGCGCGAATGGGTGGTCCGGTGGTAGTGATGTGGTGCTGCACATGGTTTGGATCGCATTATTTTTGATAGTCTATTTTCGTGATGCATTCGTATTCTGTCAGTAAGTCGTTGAAAACGTTGTTCGCAGGATTCATTATTCGTACACCGTGGATCTCGTAGTCGTTGGAAGGTGTACCATCTACCTGTAAACATATATCTGCGTCAACCAATCTCTTCTGAGTCATATCTACTAACAAGTTGTACGCACTAAGAAAATCGGCTCCGAGGATGGGTCGTTTGACATGAGCAACTATGAAAACCCATGTAAATCTGCAGAGTCCGAGATCTAACATAACTGATTGTTCACCGTACGTTTTGATAATTGATTCGTTAGCCGCTACTAAGGACAGTTTAGTGTTAGTTATCTGTTGTCTGCGGGAGAGATGGAGTGGGATGACGCTGATTTCTGCTCCAGTATCGACTAAAACGTCCAAGCCAGAAATACGATCCCTAATGTGAAAGAGCGGCTAACGTGTTGGCCAGTAACAGCTGCCGCCATTACCGTCTGGCCGCTTCGTTTCCCTGATTTTCAGTATCAGTCGAAGAAAATGTGCACGGTCGTGTACAAGGCCGTGCTTTGATGCAAAATGTAATCATTTATAGTGCTGAAACTCCACAAGTCATTCGATAATCTAAATTTTATTTCAGTTCATAACTATGAAGGCAAAAGGGTATTATTTCCATAAATACTTCTGTGATTAATCCTCACCCAACTTGCGGTTTCTGAGGATGATAAGCATATGAATCAATTTCCATCGTCTCAAGTCACACTTCATGTTTTCTCCTGTTATTCATTCATTTCAAAGCAGTCAAGTGGTTTCTTTATGTCATGGTGTTTTGTCTGAACAGGATGGACTAAACGAATGAATAGTTACATAACACTACTCAAACCACCTTAGAACATCCTTATTATGTACATGTAGTGGCAAATAGATCTCTGAAATAAATGAATCTGGAAGTCTTCGACATGCTGACCTTATTAATTTAACTGTACACATCTATCTTAGGATCCTCTTGGTCATGCATTCACACCAGATGATAAGTGAGTACACTGTGCGGTGAACCTCTTTCAATTGTTAGCCAGTTTAAGACAAGACGCTTCTTGATATATCGATAACCTTCCAAATATACCCTCGAACTACTTCATCTCTGATTTTTTATTTGACTGGGTTGGCATACTTCGATTATATAGGTGTTACGTACAATGACGTTTTGAAAATCCGATTACATATGACATCTTTATACACTAGCAGTTTACCACATTTAGAAAATCTGATGTGATCACTAAAAATATTTCAACTGAGTTTTACTTACTGCTACAGCCATTTAACACCTATTTCTTTCTTCTGCCTTCTGTTCTCATTTCAATCAAACATCTTTTTCATGAGCTTATCCAAACCGATTGGCTTTTTTGAAATCGTTTCTCGTTATTTCAGTGTAGTACCTTGCATTTAGTTATGCACACAGGCAGAAGTCTGGCCACATTGTAACACTAATTCTATTCAGTTAGGTAGTTATTTGTGAATCTGCTTATCTTTTAGTTGAGTGAATTCATTTGCCTTAGGTCACCAGGGCTTCTGGATACCAATAGGTATCACATTGTCAGGCAGGACGTTGATAGTTTGGAATGTAAAAATAATAAAATGACAATTCGAGAGCTAAGAGAAGGCGATTGATTAATGAATAAATAGAAGATTTAGTTAGTTAATAACGTGTAAGACGACAGAATAGAATATGAGGGGAAAGGAGTTGATAATTAAAGAGATAAGAAGTGCTTACTTACATGTGGTAATGACAACCGTGATAATTTATGAAACATGCATCAGACACAGCTGTTCGAAGAGGGGGATAATGATCTATGAGTGAATATATGTTAGTCAAGTTCCCTATCAAAGCTATCCACTGAAAGAGCTACGGACAAAATTAATCATTTGTATAGGTAAATAGATCCCTAAAATAAATAGTGCTGGAAGTTTCCCACCTTAATGTAGATACCTATTTACATATATTAGATTATTAATAATTTGTTTTCTTTACGAATAATGGTAGCTTGATCCGTCATGATAAATTTGGTAACATTGATCAAATCACTGCATCGATTGCCCAACAATGTGATAAATTTCCTTTTATCAGCAAACGAAGATTGTAATGTTTTACAAATAAAAATTGGGGTACACATCTCAAAAAGCGTAGCGTTTTGGTTTCGAAGTGTAGTTTCAAAGTGGAGTACCTATGACGCCGATGCATAAGGTTACTCTTTAGTGCTCAACCGCCATCGAGTGACTATCCGAAAACTTCCTAGCGAATTTCCGTGCTAACCTGGCGTCAAAACTAATCTCTAGGGTTGATCTAAACAACCGCTTATTTTGTACACGATTTTTAGGCGTTTGTATGTCGAATTTCTACATCCTAGTGACAATATTTTTGGCTTATGAGACTTGTAACAGAAACAATAAGTTGAAAATCCTTCATGAGTGTTTTATTGGATAGTATTTCCATTTCTTTGTTCACTCGTCCTATCTTTTATTTCATGTCTTTTTTAGCCAATTCCCATGTTCTTCACCATTCTTTTTCTGAACCATTATTATTTGACTGTGTTTAAGATTTACAAATATCATTTAATTTTGTCATTGAATGTTACCGAGTCATTGTTGATAAGGTCGTTTTGGACCTAGAACAAAGTTAAGGCCTGTTTCGATTAGTAATTGTTGATTTTAGGTTGCCTGCTGAAAGCGAATGTACAAGCTCTTCCAGATAGTCATTTGGTCTCATGTTATTGGAGATACTTGACAATTGTCAGGTACTGAACGTTGATTAAGTAGTCATTTTTCAAGCTCTTTACTATGGACATACTGTAACGTTTGAATTATTTTGTACTTTTGATTTGATTTATTTTCTCTCCGAAACTATGACCAAATAAATGGATACTAGAGTTTGTGTCTTCATATGATATAATACGAGTGGCTCAGAAAGGCTATATAGGCTATATAGGAGAACGCAAATTAAACTCCGATTTGTTAGCTTCCCATTCAAACCAAATATCGGACGTTTAGTCGTTACAAGACCAGTGTTTATATTATTTCTGATGGTATGATTGAGGCTTCGGTACAGTTGGGTGTGTCACGAAACTCCAGAAAGAGTATTATCAAGGCAAGCTTAATGAAGTAACCTTACAACCGGGGGAAATAGCAGAAAACTTATTTTTGGGTACACATGCTACACTATACAGAGAATAAAGAGGTCCTTATGAAACAACCGGAGTCTTAACAGAATCTGAGTCTGAGAGAAAAGACATAAAATGAGACCCAGTTACATATGGTGGTTCGTTATAACCGTCTGAAAATGGCGCATGATTGTGTATGATATATGGATATTCAGAGTTTACATCTGAGTTACTTATTTAAAAAGTTGATTGACGATTATACTTGCTTATTTGACTGTTACAAATCTCAAAGTGAAGGGTGAAAATTAATTTGCATCCTGTTCGTAATTTCGTGCTGTGTTTTGTGTTCCATGACGGCCTTTTAATCCTGTGTTTTGTTAGACTACTAATTCTGTGTTCTTGTTGAAATATTAGTATACTCCTTTTTAAATGTCTGTTTTATTACGTCAAAAACAAATTTTTCTTCCGTGTACACTTTTGGCAGCGAATGAGAACAACGCTTAAAAAGAGGGGAGCAGTTTGATCTTGACAACACGGTAAGGTAGAGACGACCTTTAATTTGAAATTACTGGTTGATTGACCAGTTGTTTCAACACCCCTATTTGGGCAGTTGAAGTTTTTTGTTGGCTGACTGAGTTAAGAATATACGTGCATCTATTTGATGGACTTTAACAGCGATTCCAGCCAACTGATCGAGTTGCTGACTTTATAACCTTTTACCGTTCCCTTTGAAATATTTTTTTATTATACCTGACATCAATTTATTATGAAAACCTTAGCTCTAGTTTATAAACCTAACATGCTCTATGTCTGAAATCCATTAGTGTTACCAGAGATTAATTTCCTCAAAAAAATGAGGAAATTCCAGAGACCCCATCCCCCCATTTTCGCTAAACTTTTATCACCTTTGGGGAAGTT